CTGACCAACCATCGGTAGTCATTGTCGTACCCTGAACCATCAACACACACATATGGCCCCAGGGTTCCATCACGGTGAGGAGGATGGGCCCACTTAAATTCGGCTCCATGCAGAATTTTCGGGATGGACTCGCGGTCGCTGGGTACCAAAGCTCTCGTCCATCTAAGATCTGCCTGGGCGTTGATCCCTTGCTGCAACAGGCGTCCCCCTGGGTCGAGATCACGCCGTAAAAGCCAGGAGCCGTCACAGCCCCATAACCTGTGGTGCACAGACCCTTTTCGGGCCTTGCACCATCTGCAAAGCGGGTCCAAGCTGTATCGCTGCTTGAACAGATCTTTCTGCGTCCAGAGGCCTCCAGAAACCTGAGCAATAAGTAGGCTGATCCCAAGATGGTCCCCTCTCTTTCTCTGCTCTGCGATAACGCCTCTGATCGGTTCCAGGAAAGGCTCCCAAGACAGGTCGTACAACTCGCTAACCTTCTTTAAACTGAGCTGCTCGGTGGTGTCGTCTACGAGGGCCTTGACCGTACGAGGACCCAACCCGCGCAAGTCCAGACGGAGCCCCGACGAAGTGACCCAACTACACCAGGAGGTCCCTGTCCAGCCCAGCCTATTCAGCGTCTGTACCACCGCTCCAGCTGGGCCTATGACTCCACTCCAGCCTCGAGCAACATCTCTCTTGGCCTTGTCAAAGGCCGTCTGCATCTGTGCCTCCGATGACCACTGCAAAAATATTGCCTTGCACCACATCATGAGCGGCAAGGCGTTCGCCAGGAACGACGGGTCAACCTGCGGCACCTCTGCCAGCAAAAACTGCACTGCCCTGCACCTTCCTTTGGCTGGGCCAAAAAGCGCAGCTGCCGTCGTGGCACGCTGCTTCTGGAGTGCGGTGTTGGACATCCCCACCACCCCCACCCCATACATCGCAGCTGGCGTACCCCCTCCTCTGAAGACCTGCTGAATCGGTTTTTTCAAGAATCGGAACGCTCGATATCGTCGCACTCTGCCTCGCACAATGGTGATTCTTTTATTCGTCACCTGCCTGTCCTTGTTGAAGGCCAACTTAAAGTCTACGCCCAGGTTCTTGGCCGCGGGCACATACTTGAAACTGAACTCTCTCAAACTACGCTGCAGAGATCTGCCCACTTTGATGTCAGATGCCACCAGAATGCATTTCTTCCTGGAAACCTTCATCTCCAAGGCCTCCAAACCCCGACAAAACTGCAACGTTCCCGACACCAGTGCTTTCTTCACGAACTGCTCTGACCCCAACGCTTGGATGGTGGAATCGTCGACCATGAGCGCCAACCCAAGACGGGGCCATCTCGACATAAACTCGCCACAAACATTTTTAAGCACTATCTTCAACAGCGTCGTCGCGAACGAGCACCCCGCGACTATGCTGCTGTTGACTGTGAAAGGGAGGGACAGGGCCTCGCCAACCTTGATGCTGCGAGGCCCACCATAAACTAAGAGGAGCACTCGTATGCGTCTGATACTAAATCCATGCCGATGGCACGAACGAAGCAAGAGCTGGTGCGTCACTCTCTCATACGCCTTCTCAAGATCAATCAGCGTGCAGGCACTCAAAAACTTGCTGGCGATAGCCGCCTCGTTGTTAATCGTTTGCCTCCATACCGCCATCTCACAGCTCCGTCCCTTCCCCCCGTACATGTACTCCTTGTGGTTCGCCTCCTCCCATCTCTCCGCCTCCCTATGTCGCAATCTCCCCAGAACGCGCACTGGTGTGGGCAAAATACCAATAGGTCGCCGCCCACCTTCTGGTTTCTGGAGGAAAGGGAGGATGAGCAGCGCGATCTGCTCAGGAAGACAAACGAACTTCTCCCACATGTGCAGCAGGAGACCAAATACACGAAGGCCTTCGTCACTCAGTGACTTCAAAAGTGCTGGCGGCCACCTGCAGGCCCCCACTGCCGTGCGACTTTTAAACTTTCCAAGAACTCGGCGTAACTCCTGGGGCTCAGGTGGCTCTGGAGGGTCATCCATGGGTAACGACTGCAGAAAATCGGCCTCTGGCTCCTTCAGGTCACCGTACCTCCAAATACCCTTCCATTCACTTTCGAGGGCCTCAATCTGGTCCATCGCTCCTCCTGGGGTTCCGTCAGGGCCTGGCTCATCTGGGATCCACTCGTTCGGGACCTTCACCCACCTGTGAACCATGCTCCCCCCGTTAGACACCGCCTCTGAGGCCCAAGATCTCCACTTCTTTTGACGCTGCCTGACCCAAGACGCCTCCTCAGACTGGATCAGCTTGCTCAAATCAACCAAGGCGTCCCTGATAGAGTCCGCCTCGTATCCCCTGAAACTAAAATGACATGCACGCCACTCCCGCCAGCCTGAAGAGTGCCAGAGTAACTCGGGAGCCTTCTGAAGCTTTCGGTTGATTTCACATGCCTGCATGTCATCATCAACGTATCCCTTACGCTTGAGGTGCCCCAACTCTTCAAGGCGCGTGTGGAACTTCCGCATCGCTCTAGACACTGGCGGCCCGAGAGGATGTGGCCCGCCAACCTTGACAATGGCTGGCTTATACACGTACTTAAACTTGTCGCCTCTGCCGAAAAAGTTCCCCTTGGAGCCCGACAGCTCCAGCTGGTACATGTCCGCGAGCTCTAGCTCGGCTGCCTGACAAAATGATGCATAAGCCTGCGAGACCTGAGCTTGCGTGACTGCTGGTTCGCGAACCAGCTGCTCAACCTGAATCTGAATGCCTTCCCACCATCCTGGTGGGGCTGGCGCTGGGCCGATCGGAAGATCAGGGAACCTCTTGGGTGTCCACAAATATCTGATCTGACCCAGATGAGTGCTAGTCCTGATCGACATTATGATGGGGTAGTGGGTGGACAACTCAGACCCTTCCAATCGATCGCAGCGCCAAACACAGGGCACTAAGCTCGCCGACGCAATGAAGAAGTCAATATCACGCCAATCCTTGCCCACTCTGCACGTAGGCTTGCCAGTCAGAATTATGACCCCGTCGATTTTCTCAAGTAAACCAGTGCCTCTCACCTCAGATTCCAGAGCGTTGAAGTCGCCGCCAATGACGAACGGCTTTCCCATGGAGAACAGAAGCTCCCCGACCTGGAAAAGAATGCGACGGCCCTCGGCACCTACACCATCCCCGCTCGGGAGGTAAACACTGGCAGCGTGGAAACCTCCCGCGACACAGCCTCCGACCCAAGCCACGACGGCCCTGGAATGAGGTCGAGGCTCCAAGGGATTGCTGCCCATGCCTACCCCCTTGCGGACGGCCAAACCTACCCCTGCTGATAAACCTTCAGACTGGGTCACATCACAGGTTCCAAAACGAACACTCCAACCTACCTTGGCCAAGGTGTTCGACGCCTGAGCGGTGTCGCCTACCTTGACCTTCGTCTCTTGAAGGAAACAAACCTTCGACTGACATTCGGCCTCTAAAAAAGACTGGCACCGTGGCCAGCTTGTGACGTTAGCTGAGACAAAATCCCAACTCAGGCCGTCAGGAGCCGCACGAGCGTGTCGGTGACCTGCTGCGGTTGCCCCTCTTGCCAGCCTCCTCTCTCTCCTTCTCCATCTGCTCTTTGACTTTGTCCAGCACGGAAGAGACGCACTGCTGCGCCCGTTCGTCGCCATGGAACTCCGAACGTAGTCCATCTCCCACTCGGGCGAGGGCGTTGTCGGCTCCCTCCATGTGCTCATCCTGCTGGTCCTCGTCGATCTCGATGTCCGTTGCGTGTCCTCCATTGCCTCGGCCGCGAGCAGCATCAGCACGAGCTGCACGGCGACTCTCAGCACTGGCGGCATTCTCCACTTCTCCACGCCTTTCCCGCTTCGCCCTCGGCTGGCCGCCCCCAGCGGGTCCTGGGCTGCCTGGGGCTGCGCCGCCTGCGGCTGGGGCGGCGGCCGCGGCAGACGGCACCTTCGCCTCCGCCGCTGCCACCGCCGCCTCCAGCGTCTCGCGCATCGTGTCGAAGGCCTTGCGCAAGCCCTCGCCCGCCTCCCCCTCGGGGAGTGCTCCGACGAAGGCGTCGAGCGCCTGCTGCAGGGGCTGGGCGAGAGACACTGGCGGCGCCGCCCTCGCCTCGCCCGCACCACCCTGCGCGCCCAGCGAGAGCCCGCGGGCCTTCGCGTCCTCGAGCTGCTTCTGGACGGTGTCCAGCTCCTCCTGCGCCACGATGGCGGCCTTGACCGCCTCCTCGGCCTTCGACTGCATGCGCGCCACCTTCTGCTTGAGGTGCACCATCTGCTGGCTGTACTTCCCAATGGGCGCGTTGATCTGCGCGGCCTCCGCCTTGGCCCCAGAGAGGCCATAGTTCTGGAGCGCGCGCTGGTGCATGAGTGAATCCCTCTGGTGTCGTGGGATGGACTGCGAGGCAAGCGCGAACTGCTCCTCCGAGAGATTGAGCCACAAAGACTTCTCCTCGGCCGTGAGCTCACGCTTGGGAGGGGGAGACGCCTTGCCTCCTCCCCCCGCACCTCCACCGCCACCACCTCCTTTCCCTCTGAAACCGTTCTCCTTGCCGCCGCCGCCTCCAGGGATGAAGGCTCCGCCGCCTTTACCCCCTTTGCCGCCGCCGCCGAACCCACCCATGCCCCACCACGGATTTCCCCAGGAGAACTGGACCTGCGGGATGGGGCCTTGAGGGTTCCGTCCGTTGCACCCTGCCTGCTTGCAAGTGCCTCGGTGCCCGAAGTTGTGGAAGCCACAGGTCCCGCACGTCCACGCCGGCGCCATGGCCGCGTCTCAGCACGAAGGGACCTCGCTCGCAAATCACGGCGGCTCGGGCAGTTCGCCGTGGGTTCGAAAAGAAAAGCCTCGGCCTCCTGACGGCCTCGAGAGTGGCCACGGAGTGCCAAGGCTAATCGCTGATTCTCGGGCGTCTATAGCCCTTCACAACGTTTAACCTTGAGCCAAAATGGCTACGGATCCTCCTCCTCCTCCTACTCCTCCCCCTCCTCCTCGTCCTCCTTCTCCTCCTCCTCCTCCTCCTGCTGCTCCTCCTCCTCCTCCTCCTCCTCCTCCTCCTCCTCCTCCTCCTCCCCCTCCTCCTGCTCCTCCTGCTCCTCCTCCTCCTCCTCCTCCTCCTCCTGCTCCTGCTCCTCCTCCTCCTCCTCCTCCTCCTCCTCCTCCTCCTCCTCCTCCTCGGCGACGGCGGTGTGGGGGTCGGCCGTGACTGGGATCTCGGATCTTAAGCTGCACGGGCTCCGGGTCTCAGCCTTACGTGCTGAAGGCCGCCTGCCTGCCGGTGCATCTGTCGGCTTGCGTTTGCGAGCTTCGCCACGTGGTGCATTCCGCGACCCGCTGGTAGTCCACACAGTAGAGGTCATGAAACACTGGGCCCTTGCGGCCATCTCGGCCCTTCCTGGGCGCGGGCCTCTGGAGGCTTGCTGGTCTGCCGGTCTGTCTCTTTTGGCCCGGCCCCGTCCTTGGGCTCAGTGCGTGGACCCAGCACAAGCAGCGCTTTTAAGTTTTGCCCGCGTGGGCATTTCAATGCCATCGGCGTTCAGTTTTGTGGCCCAGGATGTGGAGTATTCTGTGCTTCAGTTTTCGCCCGGCTTCTGCTGCGATCGCGTCCGTCAGATGGCTCTCGACGCGTCTGACGTGATGTCGTTGCGGCGCCTCGAGGGCGCCTGGCAAGCGCCTCTGCACTGGGCTCCTGTCCGTCGCCTCCTGGATAAACGGGAGTCTGAGACGTGGACCGCTCACCATAAGAATGCCATGCGGTCGCTGGTGGGAGGGACCCACTGGCCGCAAGCTCGTTTGTTCGCCCACGGCAAGAGTCAGCACGATCGATGCCTTCTGTGTGGGGAGAGGGGGACTCTGTTTCATCGGCTTTACGAATGTCCGCGCTTGCAGCACATTCGTCGTGAAGAGTGCCCCCAGTTCCTCCAGGAGGCGGCTAGGAGAGTCAGGGACACAAGCGAGGTGCACGGCGAACTCTTTTGTCGCTGCCTCTTCCCCTCCCCCTCCCGCTGCTTCCCGAAGCTGGAGGCTAACCCTGAGCATCTCAGGCGTTGGGTTGGGGTGCCCGTGGGCTGGAGATTTTCGGGGGCGGTCTTCGTCGACGGCAGTGCGTTTCACACCACCTTGGCAGGTCTCTCGCGGTGTGGATGGGCCATAGTCCAAGTTGACCCTGCGGGGAATCTCATTGGTGCGGTCTACGGGGTCGTCCCCCCCCATCTTGCCCCAGAGCAGCTTGCGAGAGACGCGGAGGACTACGCGTTTCATGTCCTTTCTGATGTAGCAGAGTCTGATCCAGACAACCCTCTTGTTGTCTACAGTGATTGTGCAGGTTCCATTGGCTGTGCCTCGAATGTGGGTGTTGGGCTTGATCTCAACAACCCTCGTCGCCACTTCTGGGAGCAGTGGTGGGCCGGGGCTGGCAAGGATGCCAGTGTACATAAGGTCCGCGCCCATGTCAGTCTGGAGTCTGCTGCGGACG